CCTCCAACTCTGACGCATATATGTATCTATTGACAACCCCCCACTACTTTCCTTCTCGGTAACACACTAAACATATATACAGACACTATATATATAGTTATCATACATACATACGTACACACAATGTATACTTATATTTGCATATAATTGAGTAGCAGTCGTTGCATGCATTGGGAGTAGAGAGATGATCAAGACTCGTTGAGAAATGAAAGTAAACATAATACTTATAGTTCTCTTTGCTCTGCTTCTCATCACCCAAACACTTGCAGAAGCCAATCACAAACACCATCAACAAGGAGAACGCAAAGAAGACGCACAGAAGAGAAGATCACCATCTTCATCTTCAAGCAGAGGCAGAGGCAGAAGCAGAAGCAGAAGCGGAAGCGGAAGCGGAAGAAGCGGAAGAAGCGGAAGAAGCGGAAGACCATCATCCCTATGTGACCCCTTTTTCCTTTACTTGTTTGGAACCTGTGGTCAATGGCCTTTCCCTACTTCTCCCTCGCCTGATAACCCCTTCCTCCCCACACCACCGTCTCGCCCACGGCCGCCCCCACTCGCACCCCCTCGTAGACCCACACCGCCGTCACAACCACCGCCACTCGTGCCTTCTCCGCTCCCTTTCTTCCCTTCTCCACCACCATTAGTACCCTCGCCTTCACCCCCACCATTGGTACCCTCGCCTTCACCCCGACCATTGGTACCCTCGCCTTCACCCCCACCATTAGTACCCTCGCCTTCACCTCCTCCGCCTTCTTCACCGCCTCCATTGGTCCCCTCGCCTCCACCACCTTCCTCACCTCCCCCGGTTATCCCCTCGCCTCCACCACCGTCTCCGCCGCCGCCATCTCCTCCACCATTAGTTCCATCACCGCCGCCACCGGTACCATCCCCACCACCCCCATTGGTACCTTCTCCACCACCACCAGTAATACTCCCACCTCCATTCATATTCCCAACACCACCACCCTTGGTCCCTTCACCACCACCGCCTGATCCATTCATACAACCACCAATACCATGGCTCTCCGACCCCCCTCCCTTCCCAATATCCCCTCAACCAGAATTCCCACCGCCACTAGTTCCAACATTTTTACCGCCACCATTAGAACCAGATTTCCCACCTCCTGAATTCACACCAGCGCCACCACTAGTCCCCACTTTTCTGCCGCCACCCATTGATTTGTTCTCGCCAGCGCCGCCTCTTGTGCCGACGTTTCTACCACCACCGTTAGAACCAGACTTCCCACCTCCTGAGCTCACACCGGCGCCACCACTAGTCCCAACTTTTCTGCCGCCACCCATCGATTTGTTCACGCCAGCGCCGCCTCTTGTACCAACGTTTTTACCACCACCTCAACAAGATCTGCCACCGCTTGTTCCCATCTTTTCTTCACCGCCGCAATTTCCATTGTTTCCACCTGATCAAGAGCCATTTACGTTTACACCTCCTGTTGAATCAGCCCCAACTGTGCCAGACCTTTTCTTGCCACCCCCACTGGTTCTGATATCTCCATGAACCCACATCAGACTCATGCCCCTGATGGTTTTGATGTCCATCAGGTGGGACAGTAACTATCTCATCGACAATCGCTGTCTCGTTCGTCTGATCAGCTTCCTCCCCGATCATCTGATTCTCCTCCAGCTTATGAATCAGACTCCAGCTCTATGAATTAGTTCCCGTATGCATACAGTATTCATATTAACAAATAATGTGGATATTTTGATGTTTTAATTTTCTTATTGTCCTTCTTGTAGCTTATATGTATTCTGCATGCTTTTGTTCTCCAATATTTATTTATGTATTCCAGAAGAATTCTGATTCAGCTAACTAAACAGAGTAAATAATGGAGATATATAGTGTAATTGTAAGAAAATTATTTGTCACCAGACGATAGATATTTCAGGCCACTTGAAGAGATCATTCAATCGTATTTTTCAGTTAATTTCCATAGTTTTGATATTGAAAAGGGACCAAAACGAGAAAGTTGGAAGAAAACTGTACATTGAAGTAAGTTAATTGGAAATAGATTTAAGTTCTAATAAGGAAGCTAATTAATTCTGTTTTCCTTTTTCTCTAAACGACGCCGTAAATGTACTTTGGGGGTCAAATCTCAATACTTTAAGAACTCAGTTCTCTTGATCATCCGTCCAGTAACTCTTATTAATCAACAGATCTTAACTATAAATACAAATAAAATAAATAAAAATTTAATAAAAAATCATTAGTAATTATTGAGGCCAATTTTATAGCTCGTACTTCTCTGTTTTGCAGGTACATATATATATATATATAAATATGTACAGCCAAAATAATAATTCTACCCTGAACCCAACAAATCAATTGAAAAAACTAATGCTCCATACTTTTAAAATGTTTAAATAAACATATATATACATATGTATATTTATATATATATATAGAGAGAGAGAGACGTCAGTATTTATAGTAGATCATTGTAATTAATTAGCCAGATGAACAAGGACAAATTAATGCAAATATACAAGAATTACAATTTGAGTTTAGACTTACATTTCGACTGAACATTTTGAGTATCAAGAAAATAAGAAATATTACACGTGCTAATTGAAATCGCACGCAACTTCAAGATCTTAATTACTTTCACTTTGCCATGCAACGTGACTCCTGACGTAAAATTGAAGCTTCGAACTACCACATCGTTGAAGAAAGACGAACTCGCCACCATCTTTTCTATATCGAAATTCCCTGGCGTCGTAATATTAATCATTCCACGACTCGATACTGCCTGTTTCGGAATCGGAACCTCCGCCACAGCATCTCCACGGTAATTCACAAACGCCGTCGTGTTTTGGAACGTAAAACTACCGTAGTTGAAATTATGGATGGTGATCACTGTAACCATTGTTTGATTAAAGGACGTCGCATTTGGGTTGAAGACACTACTGAAATCGATGTTCTCTAGTCCTTGAGGCTGTAATGTAATTTCTGGGTCTCTGAGCTTGAAGATGGTGAGTGCTAAACTGGTGATGACTGCGGCAACAATTATTAAGAAAATTATTATCAGTAGACACCATATTTTGATTAACCTTCGATTGGATTTTTCAGTCGTTGAAGATATTCCCGTCTCCATGATTTTAATCTTGAGAAAAAGAGAATTATATCTGTTAATGATGAAGAGAAGAGAGTTGAAGAAAATTGGTGAATGGTTGAAGCGGGTAGCTTCTGTTTTATACTGGGTTTAAGATTTCTATTTGAACTCGGATTCAAGCAGAATAGGAAAGTAATGAGATTCTAGCAAATAAAACCGCTTCGGGAAAGGTAATTTACTAATTTGTGATGTTTCCTATTTTCAATTTGTTGCCCTTTCTGTTAAACGACGCCGTATATAGCCGAAAAATCAAAAATCTTTTATTAAATATTTAATCCTTTACCTATTTAATGTGAAATTTGAAATTCGAAGTAAAAGCCCCGTTGCAGCAAACCTCTGTATTTCGCGATGAATTTGCCGGAGGAATGCTGGGAATTGATCTTTGAATCCCTCCATCACCTCTGTCACTTGGAATCCCTTTCTTTAGTCTGCACTTCGTTCCTCGCCGTCTCCAACAGCGTCCGCCACACTCTCTCTATCACTCCCCAAACAGTTCCCTACCTCTCCGTGATTCTCCACAGATTCCATAATCTCAAGAAAATTGTCATCCCTCAATTCCATGGAGATCTAGATTCTATTCTCTCTCAGATTTCACGATCTCGTTTGGATCTCCAATCGCTTACTCTCTGTAATCAGAGAACTTTTCCAGCACTAGGTTTTCGAGAATTGGGCTCAAGGATGAAGAATTTGAGGGAATTGAATTGCTCCATCACTTCATCTTTGAAGGACAGCGATCTGATAGTGATTGGCAATTCATTCCCTTCTCTTGAAGAGATCGACATAAGCTATCCAGAGAGTGGCCACAGTTTTTATTTCCGAAACATGTATTTGCATTCGACGTCAGTTTCGAGTTTCGTTACTGATTCTGGGATTCTAGCTTTGTCGAAGAAGCTCAGAGGATTGCGCAAAATTAATCTTTCTGGTAATCATTTCATTACCGATAAATCCCTCATTAATTTGTCCCAAAATTGCCTGTTACTGAGAGCTATCACAATTCATGACTGTGATTTCATTACTCATTATGGTATTAGTTTTGTCATGCGTCATAGTCAAAACCTGGAATCTATTTCAGTGGATGGAATTGGAATTCCTACCAGTGAGTCGTGGTTTGAAGAATCCTTTCAGTTTGCTAGAGGTTTGCGTGAACTTGATCTCTCTAATTCCTCCATCTCCGATCAGTTGCTCTGCTTGATTGCGGAGGCTGGCCTTCCGCTGAAGAAGCTTCTGCTCTCTCATTGCTGTTGTTTCACGTTAGTAGGAATTTCAACTTTGTTGTCTAAATACCAGTCTCTTCTGTACTTGGATCTTGAAGGAGCAAACTTCCTGACTGATGATTCATTAATTTTGTTGAGCTACTTTCTTCACGATTTAACGTTTATAAATCTTAGCTCATGTTCTAAGTTAACCAACTCGGCATTCTTTGCTATTCTCAAAAACTGTCCCCTGCTAAATGATATCGAAATGAAGAATACAAATCTTGGGGTGGAAGAATTTAGTATGGAAGTTGTGAAGAATTACCGAGTGAAATCTCTTCTTTTGGATGGGAATTATAGTTTGGATGATGAATTCATAAAAAAAGTTGCGTATGCTTGTCCCCATTTACAAGTGCTAGGTGTTAGCCATTGTTCAGGTATTACAGAAGAAGGTATAGTTGAAATAATGAAGAATTGTTTTAAGCTTAGGAATCTGGATTTTAGCAGATGTGGGGGGGAGATAAAGAATCTTGATATAGACTTTTCATTTGCAAGGCTAGAGGTTTTGAAAGCACAAGGAACAGGAATTGATGATGAGACATTGGTAGTGATAGGAAAAGGATGTTATGGGTTGGTGCATTTGGATTTGGAAGGTTGTTTTTATGTGACAGACAGAGGGGTGAAGGAATTGGTAGAAACTTGCAGAGCACTAAGGGAGATAAACTTGAAATGGTGTTCTAATGTCAGTATTGACATTGTAGCTTGGATGGTTTTTTCAAGGCCATCACTCAGGAAAATAATTCCACCATCTGGCTTTGTTCCCACTGAAAACCAAAGGAGCTTCTTCTTGAACCATGGCTGTCTAGTCTGTGATGGCTAGTTTTCAAAAACCCCAAATGGGACTACCTTGTCAATTCTTGTGACTCGAAGTATTCTTTCATTTTTGGTGAAACTCTTGAACCTTAATGTTTGTTTCTATTTGCAATTTCTCTGCATAACTCTTGTATCTCAAGTTCACGGAATAATAATAATTCAAAATTGCAATTAGCATAAAGCTTTATTTTTTTTGGGATAAATTCATTGGAGAACTTCTTATTGGTGGATGTTCTTACAAAAACAAGGCTTCTTTTTCTACGTTCATACGAAATCTATGTACTGTTCATAGCTTGCAATTCTCTGCTCATAGCTTCGACTCCCTTATATGTATATATAGCTCGCAATTCCCTGTTTTGCAGGCACATCTATATATATAGCCAAAAATAATAATTCTACCTTAAACCCAACAATTTTCTTTTTGTTTTCTGAGGTTGCCCGAACCCAACAAGTTATTTGAAAAATCACTGTTGGTAGTTCCAAAATATTCATACATAATATAATATATGCATTTAAGTGTACATGTATGTTGCGACCAATATAATTAATTGAACCGATCAATAATAAATTAATCAAATTAGTAAGTTTGAATTAATTTTAACACTATTATATATATATATATATATGTTCATATATATGGCGGAATTCACATTAAAATATAAAAAATTAAAAATGTATATATTATTTAACGAATATGGAAGAATAACAATTTGTTTCGAGACTTTCCCGAATCCGATGTTCCAAGTCCTTGGGATTCTATCGTAATTTCCGACCCCTTGAGCTTGAAGATGGGATGGTGAGTGCCAAAGTGGTGACTACTGGGGCAATAATTATTAACAGACTTATTGCCCCCACAAAACATCTTTTAAGAACCCTTTGCTCAAATTTGCCAGTCGTTGAAGATATCCCAACCTCCATATTTTATATACACACACCATGTCTATGACATAATTTTCCATTTTCAGTATCTTCTTGTTTCTTTTTTTGTTACAAGGGGAAAAAAAAAGGAAAAAAAGAACAGACAAGAAGTAATCAACTAGGAGGAAAAGATTTACAAGTATCATAAAACATAAAACCTTGAACTGTATTTTAAGCTTACTTTCTAATCATATATAGCTTTGCATTCATGAAAGACATGCGAGCAAAGATTCCACTTGAAATCGGTGTAAATCCCAACATAAATTCCCTGCAACACCAGAGAACTGGCAACACTATTATGCAAGATTGATAGGTTTGCCACACAATTTCTCAACTTCACTTTCCAAAAGCTCCAACAAATTTGCTTTTGTTCGGCGATAAACCCAGGCTTGCAAATTCTGATCCCAATCAAATCTAGACGGCCCACTGCATCAAAAGCAACATTCAAAAAACTCAATAGAGATGCACCAAAAATCAACAATGTTGCTGAGATGAATGCCAACTATACATGAATTTTCATGCGTTCTTTTCAGGATCTAGATTTTCTTGACAAAAGTTGATTGTATCGAATATGAGCAAAATTAAACCCATACCACTCATCCAATACTAAAGCGTGGTTGTGTTAACTAAAACCTCATAGAGCACCAATACATGTTACGAATTAGATGTAGTTTGTTAATGCTGGTATTTATTCTATGCAACAAATAACCATGAACCCTAGGATGGATTCCTAGTCTTGGAAAGTTCCAAAAAGCTAGTAATTTTGACAATCTAATCACAAATTGATGATCAAGTATGATATCTTTATTTCTAAAAAAATGAAAACCAGAACCCTGGTCGAAGCGAGTAGTCAAATTGATTCCAAGCAAAGCATGTTTTGCTTTTCTCTTGATGATCCCATCTATTCATTCACGTAGAACCATCTAATCTTCAAAATTGTATGTACTAAAGCATAAAAACAGTTTGCCAAACTTTATTCACCCAATATGAAAATCTAACTACAAATTGACGATTAAGTATAATATATTTTTATTTGTGTAAGGAAAGCTAAAGACAGTAAAAGTGGAACAGAGACCAAAAACCCCGTATTACTTCAAGATATTTTTCCCCAAGAAGGAAGAGAGAGAAAGAGAGAGAGAGAGGGAAGCAAGGCTTTGCTTTTCTTTTAATGAACTGCATACCAACCAAGGGTGCAGATCATTGGTTATCTCTTGCCCTCCCAACAGGGAGACTCAACTTCAAATCTTGCTAAGTGCAAGAATTTTAAAATGTATAAAAAGAGCCTCCCCATTAATCTGCATATCTCTGCAACAATTCATTCGCATGGAATCATTCAATCTTCAAACAATGCATATATGTACAAAACTCAAAGCAGGTTTCTCAAACTTTATTCAGTCACATCTTCGACTAATACGTGCAGTATCAAGGCAGTTCAACAGTTAAAAGTACAAAATCACAGCTGAAGAAAACACACGATAGCATTATTTTTTACCTCAATGGGGAAGACAACCAAATTTGCCTATTTGGAGTCTGTTTGTTCAACACATAGGTCCCTAAAGCGCCAAGTTTAAGGGTCAAAACCTCATTCTGCAGCACAAGAAACAAAAAATTATACTAGAGCATCAGAATATTTTATTTATGATAGTAATTATCAAATGAACCTCTCTCACCCCATAATCAACATCAAAGCCATCGATTTGGACAGTGTCACCATATTCCTGAGATGCACCCAAGATAGAGAATCAGACTTTCCAGTTAGAAACAAATGAAATCATAATATCTCAAAAGAATATATCACTAATTAAAATTGAGATCATAAACTTTTAATAAAGGCTGCTTAAGATAATGTAAACAATGATGCACATTCCCCTTTTACAAAGAAAAAAGTAGAAAAAACCCACTCATCCACTCAACAAAAAAAGAACCACAACATCTAGAAAAATTGGCTGATTCCCAGAATAAGTTTTCAGAAATAATTAATTTTACCTCAAATTTCTCTTGTAGGTCATGGATTGTAGAATTGGCTAGCCTGTGAAACTCATCCTCCTGCAGAAGAGAACTGTATGCATATTAATCATTAGAAACCATCACGATGTGAATATGGACATGAACCATAAAGAGAAGGCCCAATCCAAAGAAAGAGAAGGAAATAGGCCAAAAGGAGATCTTATAACCGGTCTTAAATTTCCATATGTCTCCCCATTAATTTGACCACAATCTCTTTTAATTAAAAAAGAATGCTAAATTTATCTTAACTAGGAAATTAGTTTTTAATTTTTAATTTATTTCCATATATCTCCTCTCTTAATTTGGCCACAATCACTTTTAATTAAAAGGGAATACAAAATCTATCTTACTTAAGAAATTAGTTTTAATTTTAATTTTTAATTTATTTCTTATGTAATTACGAATTAAATTAAGAAATTTTATTTTCCTTTTTATTTACTTGGCTTAACCTATAAACAAGTCTCAAAGTTTTCATTGTAAGGCATTTAAAAATTATTTCAATAATATTAAGAGTATTTTTTTTCAAGAGAAGTTCTTCTACCATCTTATTGAGTAAATAATGGACCTACCCATCAAAGTACGATCTTGTAGTGTTTTTCCATTCTATTTCTTTCATTTCCAATTACTTTATTTCCTATCATTCTTGATATTAGATTAAGTAGTAAGGATTTCTATAGGATCAATTTCTTTTATGTCTTTAAATGAAATTGTATAAGTTCCTGATCACATTAGTTGATCCTGGATTCCGCATCATTTGGTATTAGAGTTTTAGCTTCATCTAGACCTACTATCTTTTACTTTTGTACTTTTAAATTCTTGTACTGTTTATTTATTTATTTATTTTTTTGTTCATCTACTCAAAAAAAAGATCATCTCATACATTGATTCAAGCAAGACATAAAGTCAATTGATGCTTTCTTGGCTTGATAAAATCATTGTTGGGTATCATTTTTTTTTATCTACTTTTTTTGCAGTTTTGTTTCCGGTGCAAAAAAAAAAAGAGAAAAAAAAAATTAAAAAAAAAAGAAGAGAGGAAAGAAAGGAAACAAAGGAAAGAAATCCTATCGGGAAAGTACTTATCTTTTTGGTACTCAACCATCCTTCCTTGAAACGGTTTAAGAACCACCTCTTCATAAGGCAAAAGCTCCTTTTATTTTACAATTTTTTTTTACAACCACGTGTATTCACACTTACATAGTTCATTAAACGCTACATTTTTTTTATATAAAACGTAACATACATCAGGAATAGATTGGTAAGAATATCTTTTGGATTTCTCTTTGGAACAATACCAAATCCCTACATCTTCTATAAAACGTCAATTTTTTTTTCGACTCTCAGTTTCTTTTATTGTTCTAAACTTTAGTTCTCTGATACATCTAAACATCTACATTGCATCTTAAAGCTTAGTGTAATTGATAACACACTACCTCTTCCTTTGTGTATTACATTCGTGCTTCTAGTATTGGCACGGGATTTGTTCTATAAGACTTCTTACGATATCTTAAAACAATACTTGAGAATACTTTGATTCAAAATAATCTATCCGGCACTCAATTTGAGGCTGGGAGATAGAAAGGTAAAAGGTAAATTTTTTTTTTACTAATTCTCTTGTATTTCGCTCACTTGACTTTTATCCTCCAATAATCTCACACACTCTTACCTAAATTTTTTTTTTAGTAACCCTTTTGCAGGAAATCTTCTTAAAATATCAAGTGAGCATCAAAGTCCTACCAACATAATGCTCCCTATGGAGGCTATGCATGCAAAATTGGCACGGCTTAGTCAAGAGGTAGATAACTTGAGTAGTGGTCGAAGTGAGGCAAGACACAGGACCCCTAATACAAGGTGGCCTAGAATTCAACATCCTGAAAATGAGGTCGGATCCTGTAATGATGAGGAGGAAGATAGGGTGGAGAGGAGAGAAGAAATGAGGGATAGTAATATCAGCTCCATCAAGATAAGAATACCACCTTTCAATGATAGAAATGATGCTGAAGCATACTTGGAGTGGGAGAGGAAGGTAGAACTAATCTTTAATTGTCATAACTACCACGAAGAAAAGAAGATCAAACTCGCAATGGTAGAGTTCACTGACTATACCTAGTGTGGTGGGATCAACTACTCCTCACTAGACGGCATAATAGAAATCGAACAATATCCTCTTGGAGAGAGATGAAAGCAATCATGCAAAAAAGGTTCGTCTCAAAAGTTACAGCGCTTAACGCAAGGGTTTATGTCCGTTGAGAACTATCACAAGGAGATGGAAATGGTCATGATCAAGGCCAATATAGAAGAAGATCCCGAAGCAACCATGGCGAGATTCCTTGGAGGTCACAACAGAGACATCGCCAACATGGTGGAATTACAGCACTATATGGAGGTAGAAAACAAGATATACATGGCCATGAAAATTGAGAGACAACTCAAGTACAAAAGGAGGGGTACATCATATGTCACCCCTACTACGGCTCAAAATGGCCCAAAAAAGAAGAAAACAAGAGAGCATACGAGAAGAAGGAAAATTCTGCACTACTAGATACAAAATGTATGACACCTAACTCATCTCAAAAACATAGTACAATTAAATGTTTTAGGTGTCTCGGAAGCAGACATACAGTTTCTCAATGCCCAAATAAGAAAATCATGCTACTGAAAAATGACGGTGGAATTGATAATGCTAGTGATTGCGAGAGCGAAGATAGTAATAACATGCCACCACTGGAGGATGTTGAGCAAAATGTTGAATATCTAGCTCAGGGGGAAGCTTTCATTATCCGGAGAGTTCTGAATGTCCAAGTCAAGCCGGAAGAAAGTAACCAGAAAGAGAATATCTTTCACACTTATTGCTTTATAAATGGGAAGATATGTAATCTCATTATAGATGGGGGTAGTTACACCAACGTTGCTAGTACTATTCTAGTTGATAAACTTGGGTTGACATACACGCATCATCTTTACTCTTACAAGTTGCAGTGGTTGACTAATTGTGGAGAGATGAAAGTGACAAAGTAGGTATTAGTTTCCTTTTCTATTGGGCGATACACTGATAAAAATCCTACTTGGAAGACCTTACCAGTACGATAAGTGTGCAACTTATGATGGCTATAGGAATCATTATTCCTTTAGCATGAGTGGTCAAAATTTTAAACTTGTACCGGTATCACCTGAGGAGGTATTCAAATATCAGCAGCAACTCAAAAACTCCATAAAGAATGAAAAAAATAAAGAATTAAGCAACATGAAAAGAGAATGTTACTCTATGAAACAAGAGCTAAGGATGCCATCTTTTAAGAAAAAATTATTAACTCACCTCAAACCTTCTTTATTTAACAATGTTGTTTTGTATGACATTTTCTATAAAAAAAACAGAATTGGTGAAACCCCTGCATAAGAAGTGTCCGATTCGAGGATGAATCGTTTTTTAAGGGAGAGGGGATGATGTGAGCATGGATATGAACCATAAAGAGAAGATTCAATCCAAAAAAAGAGGAGGAAATAGGCTAAAAAGGAGATCTTATGGCCAGCCTTAAATTTCTATATGTCTCCCCATTAATTTGACCACAATCTCTTTTAATTAAAAGGGAAAACTAAATTTATCTTATCTAGGAAATTAGCTTTTAATTTTTAATTTATTTCTATGTCTCCCCCTCTTAATTAGGCTACAATCTCTTTTAATTAAAAGAGAATACTAAATCTATCTTATATAGAAAATTAGTTTTTAATTTTTAATTTTTAATTTATTTCCTACATAATTACAAATTAAATTAAGAGATTTTATTTTCTTTTTTATTTACTTGGCTCAGCTTATAAATAAGTCTCCAAATCTTCATTGTAAAGTATTCGGAAATTATTTCAATAATATTAAGAGTATTTCTTTTAAAGAAAGGTTTTTCTACCATCTTATTGAGTAAGGAGTAGATTTACTTATTAAGATACGACCTTATGGCATTTTTTCATTTTATTTATTTCATTTCTATTGACGTTAGTTTTTATCATTCTTGATAGTGTATTAAGTAGTAAAAGTTTTTATATGATAAATTTCTTTTATACTTTTAAATGAAATTGTGTGAGTTACTGATCACATTAATTGATCTTGGGTTCCATATCACATCATTTTGTCATGTGAAACACTATCCTCTAAGTCCAAAATCATATAGTCAGCTTATCAATTTCTATGTAATTAACTAAATCAATGCAACAATTAAATCAACAAAATAAATTTCTTTTCTTTCTCTTCCAACAGAATTTTTGACAACTAAACATAAACTTCCTTATTTCATATGAAGAAAATACAAGGAATCCCATATATCAGCCACAAGTAAATGAGAAAACGGAGAGAATTAGCATACCGGTAGTCAATGGCCGTGGGGCTATGTGAACGATCACCGAGATCGGTGGAGGGAGAGCAGAAGTTTCTATAATCATGGGAACAAGGAGACCAAGGAATCCCCCAGGAGGAACCAGGGAACTGTAGTAGACGAGTAGGTGAGGGAGGTAAGACATGAATCAAAGATAGAAAAGGAGGAGAGTTTAGGAGCCTGGAGAACCTTCTCAGTGGAAGCAACTTGGACGTCATAGGGAAGGAGAGAAAGCACAGGGCAAAAACCACCGTGAACTGGTAAACAACAAAACATTAGACCTCTTGTTCAATAATGGGTTGAAGTAGTTAAAAAAGTAACTACATTCTCAGCCCAATACAAAGGATGCATACAGCTACAGT